CTAGGCTAAGTAAAGTCAGTTTACACAAAATAAATTATTATTTAGCATTAATCGTTAATGAATTGAAATCTCTTTAGAATAGAATAACTATAGATAAAACTTATAAATGTCAAAAAGAAAGGACTATTTTTATAGCTCTAATTCTTGTTTCATGTAATAAACCAGCTGTTAGAAAAATATGTGGTTATGTTTCAGCCTTAGTATCATATTATAGGTATAAGAAGAAAGCAAATTATGAAAATTGACAGCATAATTTTGCTGGTATAGATGATTTAAATAATTGATCTTCATGTGAAATTCAATTAAACATCATCAGAATGCTTTAGAATGAAGATGTTGCAATTTAGATTCTTCACAAAAGCAATTTATAAAACAAACTGATGTAAAATAGTCTGAATTATTACAATACCATATTTTGACACTATTAGATTTATCATAATTTTATTTTTAGGAATTGTATAATAGATAGTAAAGTGAATTTGGATTGATGAGGGAATTTTAAATTTTAATATCAAATGCCCTGAAAAAGATTCAGAAAAAGATGAATGAGTTTCAGATTTCATTAGATTTAGATTGAATTCTAGGTAAAATTTATGAAGGAAAGGGATTTTCTAATTTTACAGCCAATTAATAGTGAATGTTTTTTACTGTTTATATCACTGTATTACTTTGGAAGTATCTTTCAGCTGTAGATAAAAAAATTCTTATGTATTTTATAAGAATTTGCAGCTCATCAAAAATTAATCAAAATAGTAAAGTTAATAAAGAAGAATTATAGTTGTAATAAAATCACACTAAATATTCACTTATTCCTTCATTTATATGATTGTTTAATTGATTATGGATCACTGTACATGTTCTAGTATTTTTATTTCAAGCACATGAATAAAATATTAGGTAATTTATAATTATAAAAATTTTCCAATTAAATATATTTATTAAATTTTTAAATTTACAATTCTTAGGCTCTTTATCATAAAAAAATTAAACCTAAACTTATATGTTGATTGATGTTTAATTGTCATATTAGTAATATTAAAAGTTTTGATATTAAGGTGAAAGGATTTAAATTTTGGACAATTGACTTTCTGTTGGATCTCTTTCAGCTACTAACTAATTTTCAACAGATGAAATCTATTGATTTTAGATGTATTTTCAAAATATTAAGAAATCACATATTACTGGTAATGAAAAATTTCTAGGAGAATTTCTTAAGCTATTATCTGATAATATAATCATTTCAAATGAAATACTAGATTAAATTGTTAAATATTATATAGTAACTTATGAAGATCTTGAATTTTGGAAGCCATTTGGTGATGATTTAGAAAATGCTATAATAATTTAGGTTAAAATGAATCAATTCAAAAGATGTCGAATTGGTTCTAAAATATTTAGTTCAATAATATCTTTACGATATATGAAAAGTTCATATATTTTGTCTAAATTTATTACAAATGATGATATTATTTAATGTTATCCAAGTCAAATTCAAAACTATTTTACTTCTATAATCAATTTATTGTATAGACTAACTGAACATTTTCTAGTATACGTTTGATGGTATTAACCTGCAGGTTTTCCAAATGTTCAATATCATTTTAGCGATATAGAAACATGTAATATTGAACTATAGAATACCAATTTTTATCTGAAAGTCATAATTGCATAATTCTAGTGCATCATATTTTAGGCTTATTCTTATCAGTAAACTATAAGATTTTAACTCAACGAAATGCAAAAGAATATTTAGCCATCAATCTAATTAATAGAAAATATCAAATATGATTATTTATTCACAATAAAACCATTTATTTTATTCCAAATTGTCATTTTGTAATTTTATTGATAATAAAACTATTTATTTCATTCTGAATTGTCATTTTGTAAGTTTATTGATAATAAAACTATTTATTTCATTCTGAATTATCATTTTGTAAGTTTATTGATAATAAAACTGTTTATTTCATTCCGAATTATCATTTTATAAGTTTATTGATAATAAACCATTTATTTCATTTGAATTGTCATTTTGTTTATTAATAATAAATCCATTTATTTCATTTTGAATTGTCATTTTTGACTAAAAATAATATAGAATAATTTACATAAAATAACTATTTGAATTGTTAAATGGATTTTTTTGATTTCTGATTTATGCAAATTGATTATAAATACAATGACCAATTTTTAGTGATTTCTGAATTTAGTCTGAATTGTCTTATAAATAGCAAATAATATTTTTTTTGATTTTGATCAGTATTAATAGTTATATTTGAAAACAGTTAAATATAATAAGTGATAAATAAGTGGCTAAAAAAATTATGGATTACTGGTAAACGCAAGTTCAATTATTATTTTTCCTTTTTGGAATCTGATTATAAAAACTTCTTAATTCAAAATATTAATTACTTTAAAAAGGTGGAAAATTACCTATAATAAAGGTTTAAACATACATAAATAGTTTAAATACATTAAGTAATATTTTTGAAAACTATGATCAATTATGTATCGACTCAATTTTTGAGTAGAATAACATTTTCATATTACATAAATAGCTAGAGACTCCTATAATAAAAGCTAAGGCTTAACTTAATCATATAATTTTAATTTTTTATGATTATTTACCTATCATTCTAACCTTTCAAAATATATAATTTTTTATTCAAATTTAATAGTAAAGAAAGTGTAATTTTAACCTTTTTTTATTATCATTTATTGTAAAAACTTTTGTATTTTTTTATCATTTTTTGTTAATAGTATTAATTAAATAACATAAAATATAACATTTGTTTTAATAATAATAATACAAATGAAAGTATTTTGGATGCTTTAAAAGAATTGGACTAATTCTTTTTTTATTGAAAATATTGAAAATTTAAGTTCTTAAAGTGAAAAAAATATATTAGATAATGAAGTTTATTCGATTCTGATAAAATTGAAAATCTTGAAAAAAATATTAATAAAATACATTTAAGTAATGTTGAATTTATAAAAAATTCTGTTATTATGTTGAAGATGAAATTTATAATAATTTAAAATTAGAAGTAAAAAAGTTTGAAAAAAAAAATACACATGCCATTCTAATTGTTATGAAAAAATTGATTATGAATAATTTCTTACATATTGAATAGAGTTTGAAAGTTTAGACAAAAATATGCAGAATATAATTATTAAAAAATGCTTATAGTTTTCAAAAGGATGAAAACATAAAAAAAGCAAACTTTAATAATAGAAAAAATTTATATTTCAGTTATTATTTTAATAATAGTCTTATAATTTAATATACTTCATATTAGAATCTTGTAAAGTTAGTCATACATATTTAGATAATATAATAAAGCACTTTTGAAAATATGGTCTTGAAGAATATATATATAGTAATAATAGTAATATTGGCAGAGTTCTAAAAAATATGAAATGTATTGAAATAAATTATGAACTAGCATCTGAAATATCTGAAATATATAATTTTTTAAAAAATTATACTGATATATATGATATACTTTCTTCTAAGTAGTATTTTAATAAAATATCTATACTAGTTTTGTTTCTTCTAACAAGTTATAATTATACTTTAGAATATTGTAATTATATATAAGCTTATAAGGATAAGTATGAAGAAGAAATATATATTATAGCTAAATTAACTTTTTCTAATATCTGAAAAATTCTAATATTATCACTTTAATTTATATCTTTAAAGTTTAATTTATATAAATTTTATGAAATAATGAGATTAAACATTCAATATATTACAAAATACAAAAAAAAAATTAGTAATTACAAAAAAATATTTGGCTCATTTAAATATACAAAACAAAAGCATGATTATTATAATATTAATATTAAACATACAGTTGAAGATGGCAAATATAATTCAAATATAACTGAACCTTAAGTATTATATAAAACTTTTAAAGGTAGTATAGTACTTATATCATATATGATTGGATTCAAAATATATAAATTTCTTATTTATCATAATAAATAGGATCATTATTTTTTAAAAGTTTCTAAAAAATGCATTTATTTAAAGTTTGCAATACTTGTAATTTTTTTTATACAGAATAGACTAATTATGTAATTAATAAAACTAAAATGCTTGAGAATGGTAAACAGTGAAAAGATGTAAATAAGTTTAATTTGGTATGCAATTCAGAAATATAATTGTGAAGAAAATAAATTAATAATTATGTGATAATTGTATAAGCCAAAACAAAAATAATTATTCTTTATTTTTTTATTTATGATATGGTATATATGGGTTAGTACATATGAAAATATGCTGCAAAACTATATAAATTATATGATCTAAACCTAATTTTCATATATAATAACACATATGATGAAGTTGAATTAAATTTCATGTTTCCTTGACATACAAAGTTTATTTGTGATAGCTGTTTTGATCTAATTAAAATTCTTTATCAGAAAAGCAAAATAAATACTGTAGATGATGTAGTTTCAATTATCAATCATTCTATTACAGTTCATCTTAATTCTGCTTAGCATTATCCAAATGGAAAAGGTTTTCAGTATTATAATTTTAAAGTTTACTTTCAGATGTTCAAAAAGTTACTGAACATTCAAAAATTCTACAATTCATACTTTTCTTTTGATTCAAATACTTTACCTCCTACAATTAATATTAGATCACTTTCTTTGAAAAGACAAGAAGAACTATATAAAGAAATTACTCTATATGTTTGATTTACCCTATCGGGATATTACATGTCCTAAGCCAAACGAATCTAGTATTAGATAAGTCAAGTTTTACAAAATAAAATGCCTATTTTATGTTTAATGTTATTTTTTGTGTTTTCTACATTAGTTATGCATTTGCACATTTTATAATAAAAAATTACTTTTATATATGATTTTCGAGCCCCATATATAGTCCTTCGTTACACTACGGACATAATTTTAAAAAAGAATTTTTTTATAAATAAAACTTTCCATCGTAAAGGAATAATTTACTTGTTCAATACTGTATGATAATGAAACCACCTCGTATTAATCCTGAGCTTTACCAACGAAAAAGCCTGGAAGGAGATTTAAAGGACATTTATATAACAATTTTGTCTCCTCTCTCACTGAAAGAACTTTTAAGAGGTAATTCTCATATAAATTTATTGAAAAATTATTGATTATTTTGTTCTCAAAATAAATAGGATCGGCGAAGGGGCTATTATTTTCTTAACAACAAACTTTTCCGTTTTCCTAAAACTTCAAAATGGATGCTATCACCAGCTATTAGCACTAACTCTTTCTTTTGGCTGGTCTATCAAGTCAAGTCATGGTATGTAATGATGATATTCTATCAGCAACTCAAAAATGTTCAGTTTATGCTA